CCATATCTTGGCTATTGTAAATAGTGCAGCGATAAACATAGGGGTGCATCTGTTTTTCAAAGTGCTGCATTCTTAGGGTAAATTCCTATAAATGGCATTCCTGGGTCAAATGGTATTTCTATTTTGAGTTTTTTGAGGAACCTCCATACTGCTTTCCACAATGGTTGAACCAATTTACATTCCCACCAGCAGTGTAGGAGGGTTCCCCTTTCTCCACAACCTCACCAACATTTGTTGTTGTTTGTCTTTTCAATGATGGCGATCCTTACTGGTGTGAGGTGATATCTCATTGTGGTTTTAATTTGCATTTATCTGATGACAAGCGATGTGGAGCATCTTTTCATGTGTCTGTTGGCCATCTGAATTTCTTCTTTAGAGGACTGTCTATTCAGCTCCTCTGCCCATTTTTTAATTGGATTATTTGCTTTTTGTTTGTTGAGGCGTGTGAGCTCTTTGTATATTTTGGATGTCAATCCTTTATCGGATCTGTCATTCATGAGTATGTTCTCCCATACTGTAGGATACCTTTTTGTTCTATTGATGGTGTCCTTTGCTGTACAGAAGCTTTTTAGCTTGATATAGTCCCACTTGTTCATTTTTGCTTTTGTTTCCCTTGCTTGGGGACATCCCATTGTTTTTTAAATCTGTATTTTTAAAAATGTTAAGTGAGTGTGAACATTTTCTCATATTTAATTATCGCTTTTATAGATTTTTCTTTTACAAGTAACTACTGTTTTCCCCAATTACCTATTGGATTTTGGGTAATTTTTCCTGCAGTTTTAAAGAATTCTTTATATGTTTACAGGGACGTAGCTTTGTGTGGAGATAAATTGCACGTATTTTCTCTAAGTTTGTTAGTTGTCTTTCTTCCTTTTTCTTTCAATTTAGAAATCATTTAGAACTTGATAATATGGGTAAATGTTGAAACCACAATGTTGTTCATGGGAAACCTTCATAAGCTTGTATATCAATGATACTTTACTTTAAAAAAATGATTTAGAAATAATTAAAAACTGGCAGCATCATAGTTTGTTTATTCATTTACTGGTGAAGGACTTTTTCTTTGTCTCCAGTTTTTGGCAGTGAATAAAACCTCTTTGAATTTTGCATATCAGTTTTGGTATAGAGAGATTTTGGAGGAAAGGGATGTAATTAAGTACCTGGAAGTAGGATTATTGGGTCATATTGTAAGAATATATCTAATTTTACAAGGGGCTAATAAATAGTTTTCCAAAAAAGCCTTACCATTTTACATTCCCACCAGAAGTGAATGAGAGTTTCCAGATGTTCTACATCCTCACCAGTACTTCTTTTTTCAGAAACGCCATTCCAGTAGGTGTTTAGTAGTATCTAATCATTTTAATCAGCATTTCCCCAATGTCTCTGATTTTGAGTATCTTCTCATGTGTCACTTGACATCTTTATCTTTGTGAAATGTCTGGCCAAATGTTTTGTCCATTTTTAATAGGTTTATCTTAATATTGAGGTAGAATGTTTCCTTTTGTTTTCCAGATACAAGTCCTTTGTCAGATATATATATATATATACATATAGTGAATATTTTCTCCAATTGTCTGGTGTGCCTTTTGGTTTACTTAAGGTTGTCATTTAAAAGTTCCCATTTTTAAAAATCCCAAGTCTTTTTTTTAACTTCATAAATTCTTTTTTATAATATGTGCTGTCTGTGTTTTATCTAAGGAATATTTACCTATGCCAAGGTGACAAATATATTCTATTTTTTCTTCTAGGAGTTTTATAATTTTACTTATTACATTTAAGTCTTTAATCCATTTGAAGTTAATTTTTTTATTTGGCACTAAGTAAGGGTCAATGCTTATTATTTTTCATATGGTTAAATTGTCCCAGCATTATTGCTTGAAATGACTTTCCTTTTTATACTGAATTGATTTGACACCTCTGTCAGAAAAAAATTTCCTGTGTATTTGTTGCTCTAGTTCTGTTTCATTTTTGTTCTGGTGATCTATGTTTTGTTCCT